GTTGAAAGCTAAAAAAAACGATCTAAACATCTCCAACAAGGACCTAGATTTACTGAAACGCATGTTGAAATAGTGATGAAGCTTGTTATGTAATAACTGTAATTGTCAGTGAATCTTTGACTTTATATAGAGGATGATTATGTCTTCTGATTCAGGGCCTTTTCCTTTTTGACATTTGATGGTTGACAGTATTAATGTAGAAATGTTCAAATACAATAGCCATTCAGTACAATGTACTATATATAGTATTGTGGATATATATATATATATATATGTATTTATATATCCACAGAGATAGCATGAGACATTGTTTCCAAAAGACAACAATATGAGGTGAGACATACAATACACCCAGTAGCCTGATACATGCACATGTGTGGACCCACCACAAGCACTCAAGGCTGCACTAGTTTACAAGGAAGCTAAAATAGTCTACAGTGATCTTAGTGAGATAAAACATCTGCTGACATTTAAATGGGAAAAGCCTTGATATAGAGAGTAAGTCTGGGATGCAAGGACGGAAATCAATGTTTGTTAGATCTCAAGGAGCAGAGACAGAAGAAATGAAAAAATGAACAATTTTATTAAAAAACCTGCAAATCAGAAGTAAATATATATATATATATATATATATATATATATATATATATATATATATATATAACTTACAAGCAGTATTTGCTATGGTTAAGCCATTTCTTTCACCCACCCACAATGAATATGAATAATCTAAACGTCTATTGCCTATTCTTGCTCAGTTATAAATACCTTTCAACACGATTACCTGAGTGGGCTTTTAATTCAAGAAGAACACAGCTCTGCTGAAACGCTTATTACAGCCTCTGATCTGTTTTTCCAAAACGCATTTAACAATGTGAGAGAGAAAGGGAAGCAGATGACGAGAGGGATGGAGAAAGAGAAGAACAAAGAAAAGCCTCGACAAACAATTTCAAGGAGAGAGCCAAACAATGAATGGAGAGATTTTCCCATTTTCTTCTGTTTGTTGATGAATTCCCATTGTGTTCTAGGCTTTGGCAATATTGTTCCCGAGTACCATTCATGCCAGTGATGCATACTGGATTGAAAATGAAACAAAAAGACAAGCCGTGTGTGAAAAAACAGACGAAGCTGTCGTGTTCAATCAGAATGTGGCTTCTGTGTTGGACAGTCGAGCAGCGATGTGGAATGAAAACCTGCTGATTAATTTTAACATCATCGTCTTCATGTTTTTGGAATTGAGAGTGTGACTGAGAGAGGGGGGGAATATAGAGGCATTGCAGGGAATGTAGGTATTGGGAATTTGTTCAAACTAATTCTGTATGTATGCCTTTCTCCGTCTATGTGTGTGTGTGTGTGTGTGTGTGTATATATATATATATTCCAGGTTGTGAGTGAGTTTGTCATTCCCCAGGCCTGGTGTGTTATTGCTTATCGAATGAGCCCAACGCTCGACTGTATATTCGGCATAATGACTATAGATCTAACAACAACACTGAAAACCTCTGGCTGGTTTAACTTATCGATCTGACACACTCTTATCGCTGTGCTCTGCTGCCACTTGGACGTTTGTGTGTGAGTGGATTACATGGAGACCAATATATGGGGTTAGGATTGGTTTTGTTAAAAGGTCGCCCACCTCTGATGTGATGAGGTTTGTTTAATTACAGATTTGCAATGAAAGGGATCAATGTTAATCAAACCATTACCCTGAACAGATTACAACTCAAACTTCGGTTTTGATTTCACACAGATTTCCACAAAGGATTGTTGTTTTCAATTTGAGTTTTAGGTTTGCAATTGTCAATGTCTTCAACTCTGGCTTAAAAACATCCCCTTGCTTTACGTTCAGCAAGTGTAGTTTATGGTATCGTCGTTTGCTAAACATGAATGACTAACATTTAGTTGTTCAATGTGGGATTCATGCAAAATCAAGTTGTAAAGTCCTGCATACAGCCAAAAAACAATCCAAAGTACATCTTTATACTGAAGTCGCCAGATGCAACCCCCAATCAAGATACAAGTCAAATCGCAAACAACATCACTGTATATCTTGATAAGACTCGTATAAAATGAGATGTGAACTGAATCTCACGATCCATATTCACACATTACACGTTTTATCATAATAGTTAACAAATACAAAAGCGTACCCAACATAACTGTAAGTGCAATGCAATATCAGCAGCAGCAGAAGGAAAGTGCATGGGCATATTTTTAGTACGGTGTTTACCTCGTTCAGGAGGCCAATTTATCTGCATCATTGATGGTGTGAGAGTTGTGATTTTCTCCTCTTTAAGTTCTGCATGTCCCCAGCTGACCTGTCCCCATCTTCCATCTTCTCCTCTTCTCTCCTCATTGTCTTATCCTCCCGATGTATCTCCTCTCTCCCTCTCTCTCCTCTCTCTCTCTCTCTCTCACTCATGCCTTGAGTACATTTCTAATTTGAAAGGCTTCGTTGGTTTGTCACGCCTAACAATTAATGATAATCTGCTGCAGCACTCTGAACAGAATTTATATCTCCACGGACAGTTTCATGAACATTTGTGTACACGGAAAGCGAGCTGGGTACCAGGGAAGCAAGACTAACTTGTTGTCATGGAGCAACACATTTTGTGTGAAAGTTACTCCAATGGAAGGCTGAATTAGTTCAATCCATATGGAAACAAGGCTATGATATCAGTGTCTTTGCAAATTTCAACTTCTTCATTCATCAAAAGACACTGTATGATTCCACGCAACCTACTACAATACCCATAAGCCTCCCCGAACTGTGAGCGAGCACGTGATCAGAGCAGCTGTTGCATTTGCTACGCTGCCTCCACCGTCACTCTCCTAAGCACAGATTTGACATGGTACAGTAGCTGCCTCTTTGCTCTGTAAAAGCCCTTACTACCATCCTGATACCCTGCATGGCTGTTTGAAAGGAATTTAATCTTTCCATGTAAGTCTGATCCAACAATCTCTCGAGCATTCACTCATGTGGAATCTGTAAAATGTGACACAGCTGATCGCCAACCGGGACAAAGCCATTTTTATCACAGCGTGCCGGTCAGCTGATCAGAAATGGAACCGGGATGTAAAGCACGCAACACAAATGTGTCTGATACTGATTTTTTTCTTTTGTTTTGTTTTGGGGAAATTGTAAAAGGGCCTATAGGCCTACTAAAAGCAGTGTTTAATTATTGACCGTTTCATGATCCAACGAGGCTGGGAGAAAGTTAGGGAAGAAACCAATTTAAGTCCTTACTTTTCATGTTGGTTACTTCTAGGGTTGATGAATAGGGAAATAAAGGTCATTATTAGTTAATAATTAATTAATAATTTGGTGTGAAAGGGAAACCGAAAGGTCTAAACAACAAAGGCAAATGTGTACAAATTAAAGTCAAAAATCAAGTTAAACAAATTTAAGCTTTGTATGAGGATTTTTATTTGAAATTGTGTAATTTGTGATTTTAATGCATTGACTTTTGTTTGAGAAGGCTTCCCACTGTGAGCCAAATCATCCCCCGTCCGCTACCTAACCTCTGTTGCGCTCTCTTCTATAACTCAATGGGTTTTCTCAGCAGGTGCTTCTTTTCATCTGTTTTTGTGACAAGCTGGAATGTGTTCTTGGGGTTTTCTGTCTGCATTGTAAGCTAAACTTTCAGCACCATGTCGTTATGACAAAAATAAATCAACAGGTTTTTTTTTTTAGCATTTTAAAACTAAGTCCCTCATGAGCCTTTGACAGTGTGCTCATGGCTAAGACTCCTGCGATATGTTGTAGCTGAATGCTGCCAAAGTTAGCGCAACATGTACATCAAGTGTAACTTATCATTGTCTGTTGCCCATCCTTTCTCTTTAATATATTTTATTAATTAATGGTTATTGTGTGTTGCTCGTTGATGTAGATATTAATAATCAAATGCTTGCATTAAAAATGTATCCCTAACAGAATGTTACAAATGTTCTATGTAAAACAGGATCTTACTGTGGATGAATACATGATATTCCCACATCTCATCAATATTACACTGCTCATCAATGACTCATTTTAATAAGCACTGCTGATTATCTGGAGATCCTTAAAAGCTCTGAACATGTCTTTAAATTGTCTAAACCTAAGACACTAAATAGTGTAGATGTCTTAAATACTGACATTCATGATGTTATTTTGTTATGGCAAATTTGCAAGATGAAGCAGATTAAACACGAGGGACGCCATCACTTTTGTACCTCCGTAAATGTAAGACACGATTGAAATGGACAGCAGTTAAATTGTTCCCAAATAAAATGTTCTTAAGTTAAGCCACTTTTGATGGGTAAATACTTTGTGTTTTCATTCTGGTTCTGTCATTTTAACGGGCTTCAATTTAAGGTAGCACTACTCCTAAAGTTGGTGTTAAATCATGAGGAGCTGTGGTGATAAACCGAGCTATAAAGGACTGCCGGCCTGCACCTGTACATTGTCAGATGACAATGAGAGTGAAATGAGAGAATTAGACCCCAAAAACATACTTTGGAAATCAAACACGCACCTCTGACCCATGATATAACCATACAGTCAATTTTAAGCCATTTTATTAGCTAATTGTCCAAAATAACATGTGATTGGATCATTTTATGGATATAGAGTCAGATACATTGTTATACTCTGAAAATGTATCTGAGTCTGTTTGAAACCTGATGGCAGTTAAACCGTAACCTTTCCTGTAACTGATTCCAAGTCTGTTCAACCTCCAACCGCAGGGGGACTCGTATGAATAACTGATTAAGTATACTATGTATAAAATAATGATACAGTTTAAGTAATGGATGTTTATATCATTTATAAACATGACTAATAGAAAACTCATCAGAGTGTAGATGAGCAAAGCAAATCAGTGAATTCTCTGGCTCTGTGGAGATGAGGAAACTATATGTGGGTAAAAATACATTTTCATTGTTTGTGCTCAACTTGTGATTTATTTCATGAATATTTTTGTGTCTGTCTCTCTCTGTATGTATCTCCGTATTTTTAGGATGGAATGGGGAATCTGCGGGTGACCAAGGAAGGTGTCCGATTGGAGGGCGTGTCCGAATTCTTATTGCCTCTATATGTCAAAGAGATCCAGTCTCGCAGGGTAAGAAGTGTGTACATGTGTTAGTGTGTGTACGTGTGTGTGTTTATGCGCCCCTTCCAACCCTTATAATGAGCAGAAATCAAATGTCCCCCAGCAGGCAAGATCTATTTGTCATGTATGTGACACATTATGATGCTGCATATGATCCAGCAGTCTTCCATATCTTCATCCATCACACACAGAATCATCATTGATCCTGTCAGCTGAGGCGACATGGACACTATGTCACTCTATATAGGACAATCATTTGACACTGTGTCTGAGTGCTTGAGTGTGTCTGTGTGTGTGTGTGTGTGTGTGTGTGTGTGTGTTCATATGTATGAATGGTAAGCAGACGGGGGATTGACTGTAATAGTGTCACACTGTCACAAACACATTGCCTGTGTGTGTGTGTGTGTGTGTATAGAGCGGGGGAGTGGAATTTCAATTGTACAGCAAGAGATTAATGGTGTGATGGAGTAGGACAGAAAGATATAGGACGATTGATAGACGGGACATTTATGAAAGATGCTGATCCGATTGCAATTTTCTTGGCTGATTGTGATCTGCCGATTCCAATGTTTGCCGATTCTGAAGAACTATAATTGACAGCAAGGCTCCATGCATACTAATTTTCTTTTTCCACCGTCTTTGGACCGTCCAGAAGTCATTCTGAGTGTTGTCATATTATTTCATTTTTGTCATCTGTCGTGGTTATTTGATGTAGTTTTTATGATGTATTATAAGCTGCTATGAGCTAGTGTTAGGAAGTTAAACGGGTTATTATTCCCTCTCTAATATCTATTATATATTGCTGTCAAAACACCTCTTTCAAACAACTGGATTTATGCAAGTTCCCTGCCAAAAAACTCAAAAATCTTGCAGCTCTTCCTGTTTTCAAGTGCAGCATAAATCAATGGTCACTACTTCAGCTGTTGCTACATTAATATTTACCCCCACTTTATGGTTTTATGCTTTTTGCCTCACATTGATGATGTACGAGTCAAATTCTGTCAACAGCCTCACAACTCTTTTGGTTCAGTCTTGAAAGCCTCGAGAATTGAAGCTCCCGCACGTCTTACACTGCCATTATTTTATAGTTCTCCATTAGTCTCGAAGTCGTCGACTGAGACACTTCATACATATTTGACAAAATGAATACTAAACTCCCCAGGCCACAGCAGCGGCAATGTTCTCAGCTGTTTGTGTAGCCCGCTGGTAGGACCGTTAGCTGTTAGCTGGTAGCCACACATAGCGTGCAAAACATAAAAGTGAGCTAAATGTTTCCCCCACTATGTTTCACTCGCAGGGGTGCAGTTAAGAGTAGTGAGTGAGAAGTCTGCAGTCACTCAATGGCAGTATCAAACAGGCAATAATAGGTCTCAGAAAGAGTGTCACTGCAGCCACGAGACGTCCTTGAGCATGAGGCCTGAATGAGCACAAAACTATTTACAGTTTGGTGCAGCAGTATGCAAAGTTAGCCATGGACAGACACATAGATACACACATTTACTCATGCACACACACACACACACACACGACCAATCTCATCTTCTCCTGTTGGAGATAATAAAATAGCTAAAACCTATTTAATACAAGATAGAAGTGAGCATAAATGTTAGATAAACCATGAATTAAATATCATGACTTTTTAAATATGTGAAGATAAACCTCTGTGTATATCTAAATTGTAGTTACAGTAATACTTGACCACACAACACATTATTCATATATGCTTATATATATTTTAACTCTCTATGTTACCTCACTTTAGATGAGGTCACATAAAACACTTTACTAACGAGTAGTAACTACCTTAATAAATCATGAATTAATGATGAATTGCATTATTAATATGCGTTTATAAAGCATATATTAACATAGTTCCTAACCATTATATATATAAATGCATGAATAATGTACATTTAAATAAGTTATTCATCATTTACAAATGGTTTATAAATTATCTTATTAATCATCTACACCTCCTTAATAATTGGTTTGAAAAATATATAATACTTCATTTACAAATGGGGAATCCATCATTTATAAAGTATGAAAACACAATAATGAAACACATAATAGACAAGCTTATTAATCAAGAATACAACATGTATAACTGTTGTTATGAACTGCATACTAATGAATTATTAATGTAGGAACAATGCTTTATAAATTATGAATTAAGTGTAACTAATGCTTCATAGTGTGTAGTTATTATAAAGTGTTACCGAAAAATAAATAAATGGAAAGTTTTGCAAAAGGATGAGAAACTACTCTGTGCATTTGTTTACACGTTGTGGTTTTGTTTCCTTTAACGCTGTGTGATAACAGCCTGCTTATATTTCTATGTATATTGTACAGTATGTACTGTGTGTATTCAACAAGTGTGTGATTGTCAGCCATTGTGTTTACAAGTCTGTGTGACTGTGCCTGTGTGAGGCTTGCATGCGCCTGTCTACTGTAAGTATCTATTGGTATTTTGATGTCTGAGCTGATATTGATGTTTTGTGCCTGTGTGGAAGCCAATGCATATTTGAGTGTGTGCATGAGGCGGCGCGTATCTTCTTACATGAAGCCAAACAGCAGGTTGCCCTCGCATTTCCTAAACAGCAGACATGCTCTTATTTTTATGTACACGGCTTTTACTGAAGCGTGGTTGAATTGAGGGGTGGGAGCATGCTGAATCAGAGGTATCCACCAAACTCCTTGAAGACACAACAGTCTACCGCTTGTTCTGTGAGGAGACATACTGTAGAGAGATGGCGAGACAAAAAACAGAACCTAAACAGATACATGAAATAAACAAAAACAGCTGACTATGGCGAACTGTCCTGTACTGTGATGGTTGTAGACTTACAGCTAAACCAGAGACCTAGTTCCATGGACACACACACACACTAAGAACCCATTGAGATGATAACATGTAATTAGCCAAGACAACGCTGAAAAAAGAGACACAAACACACTCACCAGCCCACGGAGGATCTCTTGGGTCTGGCTAACTGGAGGAGATAAGAGTGCTTCAGCAGGAAGAGTGATGGTGAAGTGGGAAATAGTGATACACACAGAAAAGTGCAAGAGGAAGAGAAACATTCAAAAGCAGGAAGCGATGAGAGACAATACTGGAATGAATGGAGAGAAGAGATAAGAGACATTGGGACATTGGAGGCTTTAGCACTGACATTTGCAGCATTTTGCTCCTCACTTATAAGTCAAAGTGAGGCCGAACACGGAAGGGGGGAAGAGGAGGAGAAGGATTTGAATGCTTTATGCATGAAACACTAAGTCTGAGATTTAATTTGTTTCGACATACATTTTTCAAGAAAGAGGTTGAGATAAGTGTAATAGTAAACAAAAAACGTAACAAAATACAACTTAAAGTCACCTCAGGGGGCCGTAAAGAACCAATTAAGAAGACGAAGAAGACGCACTGGGAAAGTTGCTGCGACAAATAACGCAACGTTGAGATTTATGCCTCACAGGAAGTGTCTTTTTCAGTTTTACAAGAGAAGACATAAAAGATGATGAATTACTGGTTTACTTTGTAAATGTGTGTCTGGTTAATCCACCCTCCGTTAAAGAGACACACGCAGCAGCCGCTTCCCAGAGCTTTTCTATGGGACCCTCCGGGACCGTCTCCCACGCAGTGGATGAGACAGCCTCAATAGGGACTACCTAACATCTATGTTATGCAGCCTCTAACGTCTCTCTTGCTGGTAATCTGTACCCCTGAATTCATTACTCGTCATTCATTACCATGGTCCCCTACTAAAGGAAGCTCTCCAAATTCTCCATTGATTTATTCATTTTTTTTAACTCAATTTGGCTGATGTGATGAGTTTGTTTTAACCATCTGTGTAATCACTGATGTGGTTAATTAACTCATTTAGGAAAGTTAGCCAGAACCTTTTTTTTTTAAGGTATCTCGGATTTCAACTTCTGCCAGCTAATCGGCATCAAGTATATTTTGTTGCTATTGTAATAACATTTAATGATTCAGGGATACGTTAGTGTCATTCTGCAACACAGGGTTGTACAATGGAATGCAGTTGTAGCCTTTTCAACTGCAACCCATCAACTTTTACCATGTTTGAGCATTAAGCATCGTTGATGTAACCACCAGTCGTAAAATGCTGTGGACAGTGATCGTCTCAAGGTCTGCTGCACTTTATCCAATCCCCATGCTTCCCACTTCCATTTTGACGACCAGTCATAAACTCAAAGATGACAAGTTAAAACAAAAATGTTGCAAAGTTTAAGGGAGCTGCCCGGTGCCACGTCTGCGTGCGCCACCATTTTATCACAGGTTTACCTTTCCCTATCTGACCAGGACCCTTGTCACAGACCTGATCTGGGAGGGGTTATGGTTTGGTGTCCCCGATGGCAAGCGTATAATGCACTTAAAAAAATCACAAAAATATAGGCAACAAAAATCTCATAACTTATCATTTTGAGAAAACAAACTTTAGGATATAAAGGAATGTAGGAGAACGGAGAAGATGAAGATGGCATCCCTCTCACACACCGTATGTCTTACTCAAAAAACATTGCATACACACACATTCAAATTTTGCATAATCCGGGCCATGCCCCATCAGTGCATTGTGGGAAAGGTAAATGGATTATTGTGACCCCCAGAGAGCTAAATACAGAACTCTGCACATAAACCACACACCAACAACAACAAAAATGACACACTGAGAAATGAAATTGGCTGGGTAAAGACAGGGTGCAGGAGAGAGAAAGATAACTGTGGAGCGGAAGGGAAAAGAAAGAAGTAGGTCTGAATGAAGTAAAGGGGTTAGAGTGAGGCAAACAGACCTAAAGAGGTGGGAGAAAAGGTCAGAATACATGATAAGGAGAGCGCAAAGAGAAACAAAGGAAAACAAGAGAGATGAGAAACATAACTGGTGGAATAAAGTAAGGTTTAACACCCCAACGTGTGCTGCGGATTTTGCCATTTTTTCTTTGAGTCCGTATGTTTTGCAATTTTAACAAGCTGGCCTTAATTTCCATAT